TGCCCCGGCTCCTATCTGTCCTTCTTAAGAAGGCACGTGGTGCCCTGTCACTTATAACATCCCTCCAACATTCAGTTCGACAAAAAACTGAGCAATGAATAACGCATGTTGTACCCTGGCTTTTCAACCCAAGCAATTTCAGGAAAAATCCCCCCCATCCCCCAACCATTATAGGCCTGAAGCCATTAAATAACTGAGTATGGGGAAACAATTACTAGGCAATTATTGTAAGCAATCAACATATGTAAATGGTAATGATGATAGGCATACTTGACAGTTTTAAATACTATGTTCACATTTACAGAATCAGTGCCTTTTGAAAAGGCAGCGAGAAATACAGCCTTCATAAAAAAAGTCCATAAATTTATTTAACTACAAAGAAAAAGTAACTTGAATTACCGCTGGAATAAACTTGTTACTAAGTTTAGGACTGACTACAAACTTACAAAATCTTACTCTCTTTGAACAAATTTGTTATTCTTACTATTTTAAAGAAAAAATTACGTAATTGTTATCAGCTGTTAAACTTCCAAAGAATAATCACATCTAACCACACAAGACATTTCAACAGTTCTCCAAATTTTGTTTTAAATTATCAAGAAGTCCTAAACTCTAATATTCTGTTCTGGCTATGAGGCCACATTAAGATCAACTTCATCTTTATTGGAAAGAAATGAAATGACAGTAAACTTCGCATACTTCCAGCAGTCCTTCAGTCTGTCTTCTATACTCAGGAAAAAACAAACAATGAATATTTTATCAAAAATTAAGCAAAATACATATTCTTTACTATCTTCCATGTTGTTTTCCCTTGGTTAAAGAAGTCCTCGCTCTCAAGCAAGTACAATTAAACTTCACATTGTGCTCTACTGAACAAGCTTAAATTTGTCAAGCATGAAATTCTATATTCTTACCAGCACTGTATTCTTATCAGCATCCCAACCAAAGAAAGGAGATTAATATTAGCACTGCAGTGAGATGTCAAAAGATACAGACAGTAACTTGGAGACACAGATTCCAATTGTCTACTTCGGGACCACTGAGTGTCTCAGTAGAAAGTATGATATAAGAGACAAACTATTTCAGACAAAAATACTGATAAAAGAAGAGGACTGACCACTGCCACATATAAGAACAACCTGCAGAGAAGAGACCTAAATGTTGCTCAACCTTGTAGTCTCCTTGTACAACTTGAAGAAAAGAGGCCAAGTACAGGAAAGGGATGATCACACTACTCTCTTCAAGTTACTAAAAACTCCAGAACATTTTTAAGTTAGGGTTCCACAGTGACATTCTTTTACTATGCCTTCATTCTGCATGACACTGTCCTAGAATGATGACAGTGATCATGCAGAAACTAAGTGCAAATAACATGGATCATAAGACTTAAACACTTGAGTTTCCAGTTTAAGAACAGTCTAGCATTTGTGGATTAAACAGCTCGAGAGAAATATTTTTTTTTTTTTTAAAAACTGGTAAATTTACAGCATCCTCCAAACTCCATGGGAATCAAGGCCTATAACACATTGCTTCAGTTATATTTTCTAGTGCCAACATCTGGAATTCCATTTCTTTCAAATCATTACAAAATTCAGCTTATCTTACTGCACTTTTGCTCCTGGAAGGAAAGGTAAAACAGATGCTTAACTGTAACTTAAGTAGTTGCTAAATTTAAGAAAGTAATAATTCTTGAGTAGAGTCAATGCAGTCTTATTAACCTATGAAGTTTCTTCGAGGGAATCACTGCCTGGCTAAATGATGCATTGCAAGAGACCCTGAGAAGAAATTTTTTAATTTGTCCTAGACATGATCACAGTATAACAGTGCAAGGCTGTGGGGGTACATAAAGATACTTCTTACATCTTTTCCTTCCAAGAATGACAATAAAACAAGCAGCAAATGCCACAAAAATGGTTTGATATAGAGGCTATGATGAGCATGTCCCACAGTTATGTTATGTAAATCCACCTCTGTTTTCAGCTATGAGGAAGTAATTTAAGGCATTATATGTCTAGAAAGCACGAGGATGGCATCTGACAGTACGTATCATGAAACACTAATACTTATACAGTTACTGGATATATTTGCAATGGTTATAATTTGTTTTTCTGGCATATTTTGAGGCTGGTGCAGAATTTGTATTTTGCTATTTTTTCAAAGGAAACTAACTAGCTATCAATTCTACTCCAGTGTGAGATGATTATACATCAACTATAACAACACTTTAAATGGAGGGGTGTCCAACGACTTTAAAAAATAAATTAAAAAAAAAAGACAAGTTTCAAAATTGCTAAGCATCCCATCCTTAAAAACAGAAAGAAGGAAAGATGAATGCACAGAAAACCATCGTATCAAAATACCCAAGCCTTTGCCTTGATATGTGACAACATATAATACACAGAATGAAAATACATTAACTGATAAGAAGCCGAGTTAAAGTAAACAATTAAAAATTATGTAATTTAGTGCTAAAGAGGTTTTAAGAAAGTTATACTAGTCAAAGTTGAAAATTAATGCAGACTTGCGACAGAAGCAGACAGGGGGAGATGCTGATCTTAAAAGTTCAAAGACTTGAATGAATGCTAAGGAAAAGAGACTCCTAACTCTGAGCTAGCATGTTGATCACACATAGCCAGAATTTGAAAAGCTTGGGATAAGCAAGACTTATCCATGGAAGAATTTGCTACATAAGAGTCTGGAAGAATCAGTAGGGTCTTTATTTATTTATTTATTTTAATTCACACATGTGAAACATGTGACTATGCTCTTGGTATAAAGCTTTGCAATGCAAAACACGGAAATAAATTAAGCAATTGTATCAGCCAACCAGAGCAAAAGCAACTTAACCATTCATTGTGCAAATAACAAAACACTTGCGTAAAGTCCAAGCATTTACTAATGAATTACAGGGATGTAAACAACATAGTAACTATTTTAGCTACACAGTATGGTTGCAGGTCACACTGCCCAGCCTGCCATTCCACCTTACGTGGCAAGAGCAACTATGCAGCAGGATAGCAGAAATTCTATGTAATAGGGGATGTACACATCATATTGTGATATAGTTTTAAAAAAAATTAGTTTTGCAAGTATACCATGCATTAATACCATATAACTACTACTCAGACAAATCTGTTAATCCCTACAGCTTGATTGCCTTACATCTATTTCGGATGTTTACCCGAAACCTAGTCAGGGCAACTCTGATCATTTTGCACCAAAAAAGAAAATACTCAGTTCACACAGAAAAGCTTACTACTGTAAATTATTTTTTCAGGTTCAGCTCTAAGGAAGATAAAACACACACAAAAAAAGAACTGTCAAACTGCTAGAAAAATAGTTGTACTGCCTTTTCCTTCTCATTTATAGGTCCTTATAAGGCCTTTTTTTCACACCAGTCAAGATCCTTGTTTCCGACACATCTTCCCTTACAAAGTGTAAAAAGCAACAGTCCAACTGACAATATCCAGAGTGGACTACTGCCAGTCTACAGCCTGATCCTCTCCATTTGACTAGGCCAGTGAAACAAAAGAACACAACTTGCTGTAGGAACAATAAAACATAACGCAGCAGGGGCTGCTACTAGAGCAGAGAAGAGACTATGGCAGAGTTTTTGCCCTACAACCTCTGTCTCTAACACACATCCACATAGCAACAGCTGGTCACCTCTCAGGTCTGGATCCCTGCAACCTGTACTCTAAGAAAGCAGCTAGACAGCACTTCTGTAAGAGATAACACAAGAGGGAAAAGCAAATTCGCCATCCCAGGAGAAATGCTCCTCCTAGTGCAAGAAAAGACTTCACTGCAGTGAATTGCTAAAAACACATGGGAAAAGCATTCCTTGCTTCCTTCTCATCACTTTTAAGGTTGGATATGCAGTCCAAAGTGGAGGGGCCCACCTCAGCTTTGCTCTGCCCACACTGGGCCACTACAGCAGAGAAGTCCTTGAGCAATTCACACTATGTCCCCTAGCCTGCAAAACATCCTGAAACTGGCATTCAGCCCACAGTGCATAAAATGCTAGACCACTTGGGGGAAGGGTGTGGAGGAGACAGTTTAAGGTCACAGAAGTTGTTTGTGGCAGAAGAGAAATGAACCCAGATATTTTGAAGCCTTAGACAGTACCCTAATCACTGGGCTATGTTCCCTCTATTATTTTGGAACTTATGCTGTAAGCCAGAAAAGCAGAGTTTGTGGTTTCCCTATTTGAGTCCTGACAGGGTGGTTTGAATGGCTAGAAAAGAATCTTTGTTTGCTAACTCACAAAAGAATAAAGTCTCAAATAACTTTTTTCTTTTTTAAAATTGTCTTCTCATTCCTGCAACCCTTTTGAATTTGAAATTAACATTTCAGCCTATCACAATCTTGCTTCTAGTTAATCTTGGGTTCTAGGCTAACGATGACAGACCAAAACAAGGCCCAGAACTGTCAGCAAGGTGCTACATGAATACTTTTAGTGAAAGAAAGCTAGTCTTATGTTTCTAGGAGTAACTAATATATAAATTTGCCAAATTAAGTCAGACTTTTTTTTTTTTTTCTTTCTTCTTAGTTCAGCAATCCATCTGCCGCAACAGATATTAGCAGGTATTGTGCCTTAGTACTGAAGTGTCTTCAAACACATGCAAGATGTTAGTGAATAGCAGGTAGAAATTACATCCCTACTGTCAAGTCTGAACATAGGCCTGGAGATTTCTGACACTGTATTATGCTACCATCTACTGGTTCGCGTCAAATTAAACTGCTGGACTTTCCCTTCAACTCCTTCACCCTCAAAAAAAAAAATATCACAGTTTCTACAGAGGCTTAAAATATAAAATAAGATTACAGAGGCTTAAAATTAAAATTTTCCATAACAAAATACTAACTTGAGATTTTCTAAGATAATTCCACAGTTCTACTCAGCTTGTGTATTTTTTTTAAGCAGATGCGAGAGTGACTGTTACATATGCTCAAAACATTTTTAAACAAGATATACCAAACTCATCCACTCATTTACTTACATTCGGCTAGTTTCAATGTTTTCAGAGTGAGGTTCTCCTGGTGATCTGCAAATACAGATAGAAAACCTTAAGCATAGTTTGTTATTTTAAGGCATTACAATATGAAGAGTTAGGAAAGGTGGAACATGATAATATGTTATTGCCACTAAAAGCATCAACTTTCATGCACTTTTATTTTGTTTGACCAAACTCTGGAAAACAGTTTATAACATAAAACCTGACAATATAATTAAGCCAAATTTCTCTAATGAGGACAGCACTTTTTCTCCACAGCTTGCGCAACAGCAGCCATTAAAGGAGAGCTCTGCTGGCAGTACTTGTATTCAGGTTGCATAGTGCACCTGTTCTGGGCTAATTCTTCATAACCACTTCTGTAACCAAAATACATACTCAAAGTTTATCAGTGATCAACTGTTACAAAAAGATTCTCTGCACAGTTGGGACTCCCAAGAAGCAGACGCTCAGAAGCGGGTCTCAAGAGTCTCAGACGAATTTTAAGTGTCTCTCTCAACTTGAATTTACAGACATAATCTCACAGGCAGCTTTCTGTTTCTTCCTTCCACCTCACAAGTCAGTCAGTAATATTCAGAGTCAGGTGTTATTGCCTGGCATTTTTGAACACACAAGCAGCACCTGTGTTCAGCTTGCTAATCCCCTTGACTTAATTTACAGAGTAATTTAAGGGGTATAGTTCCACATTAAGTTAAGTAGGCTAAATTATAGCTGTTTAGCTCCTCCTTATTCCCACATACTTCCTTATGCCAGCACATGATTCAAGAAGTTAAAAAAAAATGTAAATGTTAGATAGCTTATTTTTTTCCTCCCTTCAGGACTTCTCCCTACCCTGTGAGTTTGCAGCCAGATGAGCCAGAAGACAAGGCAGTACAAATGCAGCAGTTTTGACTTTATCACCTTAAAGCAGCCTTGAAATCATATCCTGAAGAACCTTATCCAACCTTCATTTGGGTATAGATTTTGGTACCGTAGACCAGAACTGCCACACTAGATATATTGCATGAAGTGTGGAAATATAGAGCACAGCCATTACAGTAAAACTCTGTAGCTTAGATGAACAAGAATGTCTTTCATGACAGAGCTTTCTCAAGACAGAAGTAAGCTAAAATCTGCAAATAGAACTCACTTTGTCAGTTTCAGTAGGGTTTGCTAGGGGACTTCGGTTAGCACAGCTCAGCAGGCTTTGCCATAGCTTTACTGGGAAAGTCTTTGTTTATAGGAATGGAATTTCTGAATTTCTCTGTTTACTATATGAGTATCTATACCATTCTAAACACTACTGGAAGTCTCCACCTGTAGCCTGAAACATTTCCTTTTTTCCTATGTTTCATTATGCTACCGTACTGGATAGTCCCCGCTGTTAAAACCTGGACTGTTCTCAGAATTCTCTATTAAAATCTTAGTTCCTTTACTGACATACCAGATCTTAGCAACTTTCTGGATTTTAGCAAACTGTACTATGTTAACAGACCCAATGCCTAGAAAGCATTCTGGCAGACAACTTAAAATTCCTAGGATAGCTGGATACTACACAGTGACAGATGATGCAGAACACAGGAAGTTACTTGTTTATATTCCACTAAGTTATAAAATTCAACTGACACTAGGGATGGAATTCTGAACTTACTATCCAACTAACTTTATACTCACGCTTAAAATGCAAATACCCTCTAACTGGAAAATAACAAAAACTGACCAGTCTCAAAATTTGGTCTCTATTTATTCCCTCCAAGTGACATTTCCCTTACTCACAGAAGTTCAGGACTGACAAGATAGTCAATGACAAAAATAATACTCAACAGCAAAACAAATCAAATTTTCACTTCCCTTCAACTCCAGTGACCAAAACAAGTCACTAAATACTTAGCAGAGAGAAAAGAACCTCAATTACTTTTTTTTCTAATTAGTCACTTAAGCATGCAAGTGCTAGAAGCCATACAACCTGAGGAACAGTGGAAAGAGAGCAGTGCCTAGCTCCTCTGTTCATGTCCAGGGCTTCAGAAACTGATAGCAAAGAGCTTGGAAGTTTGAGGTGGTTGCTATCTTTTAGTCACAGGAAATACAACACAATGAAGCTTTGGGTAAGAGTAGTGCTTTAAGTTGCTATGAAAATACAAGCGAACCAGTGGTGTTAAAAACATCAAGAGTATTCATTGCTTTGAGCCTTTAAAATACACAGCAGTATGAAAACTTACAGAGAAAGAGCAGATTGGCATCTAAACTTAGCATGTAAAAAAGGCAGCCTGGTGATTTGCAGTGCACACAGCTATTGGTACATCCCAAATCTTTTCCTATCCCTATCATTTGTTTGAGTTTTATCTGGGCTTTGAACAGACAGTGCAGTTCACTACATGCTGTTCTGCAAAAAAAGGTTTCTTCCATAAGAAACAATGTAAGAGAAGACAAAGTTTTGGGAAAGTTCAGAAAAATAAAACCTAGCTGAGTCAAAAAAGGTTTGGTCCTCTAAGATAAGCGGTTCTAGAGGAAACAGGGATCAAATTCGGTTCTAGAGAAAACAGGGATCAAATTCCTTCAGCTTACTGTTTTCTATAACCCAAGCAGACCTACCATAACTATGATTTGCAGAACCATTAAAGCACTTACTAATGAGATTTTAAAAGGTTTCAAATGACAATGTAAGCACCAAATAAAATAAGCTTTCAGTACTCATTAAAACAACATAGAAGATCAATCTAATTACAGGAATTGTAGTTGTTTGTTGAGAAGCTACTTATTCTGCAATACCTGATTGTTTACAAACAAGATACCTTGTTATTCCTCTGAGCAGGCAACAGTACTGAAAAACAACTATATAGTATGGCAACACATCCTTTCCTCATGCTTAAAATCTGAAACAAGAGTTCTGTTCAGAGAAAATCTCAGTGCAAATGCTCTTATAAATTTCAGCTTTGAATTAGATCGTAGATACTGATCACAAGACACCAACTAATCTGAATACTGCAGCATGAGCTGGCAAATTCAAATGGTGGCTCACTTCCAATAACATGGGGAGCAACTTCTTCATTACGCAAGCCACTTTCTACCTCCACTGTACCTCCCTAGAAGAGGAAAGTTAAGGTATGCAAACCTACAAATGTTAACATCATCAAGCCCCCTGGACAAATACTTTAAAAAATTTAACAAATTGCTTAAATAAATATGCTAAACAACTTACACAGAATTCCAGTATGACAGTAAAAACCACCCGAGACTTTTAAGTGATAGTATTGCTCTTAAATGGATACCATGGAGCATCACAGTGCTCATATTTTAAAACGCAGGCAAAGACAAGCTAAGTAAGCTTTGAAATCACACTGAGCAAGAGAGTAAGTCAACTTTGCCAGCTGACTTATCTTAAACAAACAATATACCTTAATACGGTTTATAAAACTAACCTCCAGCCATACAAATTAAATACTTTTAAAATAACAAACCTTATGCTAGAAATGATCCTGAGAAACAACACTATATGCTTCATGCTTACCTTTTACAAGCTGTGGCCATTCGGTGACATCAGGGTGATCACAATTTTGAGTCACTGATTAAAAACGAGTTGTCACACCAGTCCTGTATCACGCTGGGCTAAGCATAGGCTTAACAACTCTAAATAAGTAAAAATAATTTAGTTAAAAGTCCTTACAAATTATTTTCAGCCAGTCCACTAAATAAAAAACACAGAAGAAAAATATTGATGCTAGGCATTGTTTTATCTGCAAGATTAAGACCTCCTGCACAAAAATTAGTTCATTTTTGAATGGCATTCTAAGACTTCTAGAGTAACTCACTACAGTACACTCAACTGATGAACTTGAAAATTCATCAACTTATTTTTAGCCTCTCTAAAAAAAAACCAACACCACCAAAACCCACCTCTTGGACCAGTGGAAAGGACCTGATGTCAAGACAACAAGCACTTAAAGATTTGGAAACATGCTAACTACAATAAAATTCCATTAGTTGTTTCCCTGCTGTAAGTCAATTAATACTGGTTCCTAACAGGCCTCTGTGTTCCCAGGGGAGCAACATGTAACTCACACTTTGCTGTGTGACTCTCCCCAAAATCAAGTAAACTCAAGCTATGTAAAAGTTTCAGAGGAGCAACCATTGCTATCTGTGGCCAATCTTTTAGTTTCTTTGCTCCATTGATGCCACATGTACTCTCTCCTCTCCCTTAAATTTTCAAAAGTGTATTTTACCTGTCAATTGTTTCCTGTGATCTGGCTCCACTGGTATAAATGGAAGGGTTGGTCCTTTACTTTGTCACGCAGGTGGCAGCCAATGATCACTCAGCAATACTCGTGCCCAGAGCGCCCTGGGACCACCCCAGCTGATTACTTCCATGGCTGAAAAGGAACCAGTTAGTCTCTTACCTACTGCTATTATCTACTCTAAACTAAAGTTAACTGATAAAAGTATTTCCAAACATAACCCTGAACACTCAATTCACCCCATCCTCTCTCCCACCCAAGCTCCTAGGTGCACGGGACAAAGACTGTAAAGAAATAAGGCCTCTGATGGAGAGAGAGTCAGATCATAAACAGCATTATTAACTTTCTGATGATATAAAGCTTTGATTAAAATTTAAATGTTATTACTGTATTTAGTAATTAAAAAGTTATCTTACTTTCTCTAAGCAGCCAGTAGCTATGAAGACAGACCTCTACTGTATCAGAGAGGTTTACTCCTGTGGCTCTAACCCAGACGAAACCCCACATTTGCAGGTTGCCATGCAGCAGCAGCCTCATACAGAAGCAAGGTGCACAAAGGCTAGCGAGCTATTGAGGGCACACCCGCAGCTCTCTGCAACACCCGCAGTCGCAACAACCTGGTGCAAATACTCAGAGAGCACGTCAGCAGGCCTTAAATGTTTCTGTAAGGAAAGCTTCTGTGCTTCATTCCAACCTATTGCAAGAGTCTTTCAGTAAGGTCTGAGGTTTGATGAGCAATCAAGCATTCTCAATGCTAATTTGTACCTGTTGACTTGTCAGAGATACGAAATCACTGATCAGTAAGCAAAGCCCATGATTTCTAAAGTTTGTCAGAAAAGCTGCTGACTTTTGCTGTTCTACTACAGTTTGCCATTCTGCTACCAACTCTGCAAGGGAACAAAATTTATGTTAACTTCGGAATGATGCTTATAAGTTTTACTGGGTACGCTCCTTGATGTCAGAAAAGTACCATTTAATTACTTTAACATTAGTAGTATTTAAGTCTTCTCATCTAAACACAAGTACAATTGACATCAGTAAAAAATAAGCAGGCTACAGAAAACCTCTGAAACAAAAGAGAGGTTCTCTAGTACCTATGTTTTACTGGTGTAAATTGTCAAAGTTTAACTGAGTCAATGCCAAGAACACAGTACAATGAATAAAAGTCAGTTGGAAAGGTTTGTCATCTGTCAACATTAAATGACAAACAGGGTAAAATTTTCTAATTAATGTTTGTTGACCATCAGCTGTACAGAAAAGCAAACAGCAAAAACCAAGATGCTGATGCAAAACTAAGAAGCCTTAGAACGCTGTTTATGGCATTCTGATTGTTTAAGACCTGACAATGCCCACTTTCAGGCAAGCCTTAACTTTGAAGAAACAGATGCCTATCCTAAGGCAGTGCTTTCTTCTAAAGTTACATCTAAATTCTTGCTGCTTTCCAAACTGATGTGAAATGGCCCTGTAAAAATGCATTTAGAAATGAAAACCCCCTACTAGCTCTTTGCCCAAGTAACTTTTATTATGCTGGTCAAAGAGGACAGTGGTGTAATCTCTAATGCCCTGTTGGTTGGGAAACCCACATTTCCATCTGACTGCTGGAAGAACCAGCTCAAGTTCTGGAGTGCGACAAATCAATCACTCCCCACCTAGACTTGTGTCCTGTATCATCCAGACCATGGGCAAAAGCTAATTACAGTAGTCTTCCATTCAAATGGTAGCATGTTAGAACAACAGGCTGACAGCAGCCTCTGTAAAACAGGGTTTTCCTGAGGCAGTTTCATATGGGAAGAGAGAAGTCATGAACACGCTTGTGCTGGATTCAAAAACAATCAGATTTTGTTAGGTTAAAGAATATGCACTGAGGTGGCAGATCCACAATCATGGCCAAGACAAGTTTGTGCCCAGGCTTGGCACAGATCCAACTCTGTTAGTCAGATTTACCACACCACCCAACATAGTACCTACAGCGACTCCATGAAGAGAGGCAGTATCCAAATTGGCATGAATCTCACCAAGTTAAGGTTAATTCAAAGATTTCTAGTGGAATTTGTATCTACAAATTGAATTCATCGTGGATCAGAACTTTGAGTCAGGTAGTTGCAGCATTTCTAATCTGGTACAAGATACCTTAAAACTAGATTTACTGTACTTGAGTCTAAAAATCTTATGCTACTTTTCAGCAATCCAGATGCAAGAAATCTTAACGAATCATTTTCCCTTCTCATCCTACCTTCCCCACCTATCCTTCCTACCACTCCTGTGTGACAGAATATGATTGGCAAGGATTCCCTAGCACAGATGAAGAAATAAATTTTTCTAAAACCTTACTCATTCACACATCAGCAGAGTACTGTCTGCTGGCAACGAGTCCAGCATGTTGAAACGTGGGGTGGGTGGTGAAGGAGACTGCCATCAAAGAAAGATCCCTTATTCTGAATCTAGTTCGAACAAAGGACATTTTGCCTGTTGGATCCAAACAAGACAGAAAAAAAACCAACGGTAAGGACACTAACTGATCAGGAAAGGGAAACCACACTGATGAACAGACTAACATCTTGGAAAAAGGAACTACAAAGAACAGGAAACGGACCTAAACCAGCTGCTTTTCTGTCATAGGAATTCTTTTACAAAATATCTCTGGATATAACTTACCTTCTAGAAGGTACGACCCTGCAAAACCAGCCCCAGAACAATTATTTATTCTTAGAACAAAGTTACTCAAACAGATTTCTCCTGTCTTCACTGTCATGATTAGCATGGGCTTACAGTTCAGGCTTTCACAGACACACAGAGCAGCTGAAGGTATCAAACACAGTTTGTGCCTGTGGAATATGCCTGAGAAACCCGAGATGGCTGCTAGAGGCTCTTTGGGACTGGGCAGGCTCCAGTACAGACACATCTATGTCTGCCTAGTGACTATTTAGGAGAGGTAGATTCAACCAGGAATGCAGCAACCCATGTTATAATTAGCAAGACAATACACAAGATCCATGCCTTCAAACCATATATCTGAAGAACCCTTTATGGCATGGAGTAGCACTCATTGAGAGGGAACAGGATAAATAATGTTTATGCAGTAGTTTGAGACTACACCCATGTCTCCAAGTGCAGATTTTCTGAAAAGAATGTTCCAATCAACTGAAAAAATAGGGAAGAAATAAATAAAACAGTGAAAGAACAAGAAGTCAGAAACCAAGTTCGGGTGCATAAAAAGAGGCTAACCCCCAACTTTGTTGCATAGACTGATGAGATCTTCTCTTTGCACATTTAATTTAATCTTGAAAGTCTGTAATCACAAACATCAGCCAAGAAGCTGCCCCTGGTTTCAAAACACAGAACCTAAAGCCACACCGCAGAAAACATAAGTACCTATTTGTCAGCAATCAAAAATAAAGCCAAACAACCTCCAGCTACAAATCATTTGAAGTTGTCACTTATATGGATTTCCTATATCTATTACTTTCCCCAAGTTATTTGATGTACAGGTGTGGAGTTTCTGTGACAGCACAGCTATCTGGCCGCTCACACCCAGTATCAGGTTTAAGAAGATCCTTGAGTGAAGGAACACTTATTTAAACTATGACTTCTTACTGACCTTACTGAATGATAGGTGCCGCGGGAGGTGGCATTTTTAAGAATTTGTTTCCTCTACAAAAGAATTTAAGTTTCCACCCAAGCAATCTTTGATCAAATTTTTTTTATGATCCTTTTTTTGACAGATGACCTAATGAAAACGGAAGTGGATTCACCTGTACAAAAGCAGCACCATGACCCTCCTTACCTTCCAATGCTGGAATTTGAGTTGCTTAATTAAAAATAATTGTCTCTCAAGATACAACTAAAGACAGCTTGTGTGCTTTCTGCACAACCCCTCTGAATCCTCCAAGAACGAATGCTCTTCTTAAATCTGATACCTTTCCAGAATAACTTTGAGTACCATGATGAAACAGACAGTCATCATCTACACAGTAAAAGGTGCCCTCAGAACTACTCTAGCTAGCTTACTACTTCAAAAAAGGGACTGCCAACTAATAGACAAACTAGGCTTTTATAACCTGAGATCGATTCATCAAGTGGCTTGGAGGAAATTGTAGAACATTCACCAAATCCCTAAGTTCAGTGTTAACTGTGACTTGCAGAAAAAACATGTAATAGGCATGCTTGAGACCTTTAATTTCCTGGTAAGGTTGAAATCATCAATTGCTTTTGTTGCTTGCATGCTGCTTCCAACACAGAAAACATGAAACGATGTAAGATTCCAGAAGTTTTTTTCACACAACTAAGAGCAGGTCAAGTTATCAATGATCCTAAAGTAAAATAAAACAGCCACTAATAAAACCTGATTACACAAATCCCCATGGAGCTGCAAAAAACCGATAATAAGGCACCCATACAATTTTTTTTCCACTGCTTGGTAAACCAAACCATTCAACTAATAACAACAAATACAAAATCACACAGTTAGAAGGCCAAAAGAATGGAGTTCTATCCTGGAAAATGCCAACCTAAAGTGACTAAGTCGGTCATCAACTGATGAGCACATATACATGCTCCCAGCATTACAGCTAGGACAACAGATACGACTCGTGAAGGGTTCCTGGAAAGGTGTCTGTTCATCTGCACAAAGCAATTCAGACATATTCAAAGCTTGAGCCCAGTTCTCCAGTTATTCAATGTTCTTCTGCCACTTCTGGAACGCTTTTGAAAAGAGCCACAAAGACAGCATGAAGACAGGAGAAAGTGCCTTGTGATTAAATAATGGATAGAGTTTAAATTTAATCAAACTAATCAATATGGATACTGGAAGAAACTAAGTCCTCTCATAGCACAGAAAGAATACATAAAAAATATCCTCCAATTAAAAGAAAGAATACCACCCCACTCCACCACCCGGACTAGAAACTGAAGGCTGACATTCAAATTAGAGTAGGAACACAAGCACACAGGATAGCAAGGACAATTAACACCTGAATAAATTATTTGGGGTGGGTATCTGAATTTGCTGCTATCTTCAAATTAAAGATGGTGCCATTCTGGAACTTACACTTCAGTAAAACCACAAGTTACTGAGTTTATCAAAGGTAGAATTTGGTGCATCCCAATATACAGAAATTTATATAAGAGCTTCATCCTGTAACATCTGTATACTTACTTTGTCTTGATGTCAATACTCCACAAATACGCATAGTAACAGAAAAAGGCCTAGTGTTTGTTCCCATTCCCTCCCCCTGCCCCAAAGCTAAAGGCCAGTGCATTATTCTAATTTTCTACAACTGCCCCCACAACTCTGGACACTAGATTTTCCCTTCAACATTTGTTTTTGGTTTGATATTTCAGTAAGATCATAGATGTACTTTATTCACCTTTATAAAAGAGGGAAAGACCTGAAATTATCTTTAGCTTCTGCATTTTTCATTTAGACCATAGCTGTTTTTTCCTCCACTTACAAACACACCTCATTTTTTGCAGAGCCACTTGTTTCTATCTCAATTATGCCTACTACTTCAGACTCCCTCCAAAATGATACACAGCTATGACGGAAAGCTCCTCCTACATCAGGAGGTGAAATCCAATCATCTTTTAAAATTTCTTTCAGTAGCTCGCCTTTTCCTGGCTAGGTCTCACGTTATTTTCCAAACAGGTAAGTTTTACAGCTTCACTTCAGCTTTAATATTTAAACTTTTATTCCATCTGTCCTTTTGCCTATGCTTTCTTATTTCGCTTTCTTTTGCCACCCATTTCCACACAGCCTTCCTTTTTGTTCACCAAGTTCTCTAGCATCACCAGCATGTTTGTGTATATATAGCTCCTATTAAGACCAAGCAATCATGCAATTCTGCAGCATTATATTCAGCTTTTCTTATGTTCCATTAGTATTCATTACTCAAGTTGTGGGGGATTAGAGAGGAATTCTTGTTCATCGATTTATGAAGCACATACCATTACAAAGACTACGCATACATACTGGCAAGAGTTAAACCTTCAAAAAAAGCAGCCAGCAGAAATAATGGCAATAAAGAAATAACAGCTTAGGATTGAAGAAGAGGCATCGTACACACAACTGGTATTGAAACTGGAGAGCAAGAAGCAGGTGGGTGGTCCCAGTGGTGCTGTGGGTGCAAAAATGTATATATACTACCTGCCAGATGCCTGCTAGAGTAAAGGACCAACCTATACAATTCTTGCAGGAACATCTGGATTGTGATAATGTAATATTATGGCTTTTTAAGAGATTTACAGTTTTTAATTAGCACACACTATAAATTTAAAGTTTCAGCTTCGAATTAATCATTCTAGCACTTTAGCTCCTGTCTATAGCTTCCTACGAAACAAAACTTAAAAAAAGATGACACTCAATAACCCTTCTGCAAGGTTGAGTTTTCAAAGCTTTAAATAGGTTCTTATGTTAAATATCTTCAAAAGAAAAATCTAGACATAAACACACAGAGTATAAAACTTGTACCAGCAGTTACCAAGTTCTTCCCCACATTTTAAGTGGTTAAAAAAGAAAGTACACACATAGCTTAGAAGTAGTTGTTGAAGTAACTACATACAATTTTATACATGTGTGTAACGGACCTATTTAATATGGTAGAAAAATTCACTTAAACAATAGTAGTTTTTCTGAATGCAGCAATGCAAAAAGTCTCAAAAATTCTCTACGTACCAAGTGCAGAACTAGAGAACTTGAGGCACTACAGAGTGCTGCAGTTATTCCATACCACCAGGTACCTCCACTAGACTACACCAGAATAAAGGTATAGAAATGGAAATTAAAATAACTACAAGTTAACATTCCAACCTTGCTGTAGTGCATGGACATATTTTTAAACTGGCTGGACATGTAAGAGCCTGGACAAAGAGAGGTATCATGTGCCATGGGCTCACGTTAGCACTGTTACTGCAGGTTACATTTCTGTATTTCCTAACATTCCAATTTGCAAATTTGACTTACACTGATGTTTCTTTAAGTTTTCTAGTAGTTCTACACTTACTTTGCAAGTCATACCCAAAAACTGTACAAGCCTCACTATAAATATGCTCAGCAGCAAGAAAAAAAAACTTTCAGAAACAGCACTGATTCTTATCCAGTCCATGGAGAAACAGACGGATTGTAGTAGCGTGAAGCTGAGCTTGTAAAACAAATTAAAAGGGAATTCATCTATGTTGTATAATCAGTATTTATTCTCTCCAAGAAAAAAATAAGTAACTCAGTTTTCTAGAGAACTATGCCTAAGTAATAGACATCACAAGTCAAAAAAAATGGGAAAAATGAATGTGTTTCTTCCTGAATTTATTTCCAACTTTTTTCTTTAAATCAGGGAATAAACATATAAGTATATGTTACTATGATTATTAGCATACACACAATATAAGCAAAAACATAAACATACCATATCTTTCCAGAGCTGCAGAAACTTGTTCTTTCAAATTCTAAAGTGGACTGCTACAGTTCCTGTACCTATAATGCAAAACATCACATTTCAGGTTTTGCACTATGGTCCATACCAGTCTGAAACTCAGTACAACTGCAGAATGATACATTCAGGAATGGCCATTCAGTTAGTCATAAGTTTGCAACTAAGGGAAACATATACTTACGAGTCATAGAATAGAATCATAGAATATCTCAAGTTGGAAGGGGCCCGTAAGGATCATCAAGTCCAACTCTCTGCTCCCCAAAGGACTGCCTAAAACTAAATATATGACTTCCCAAACTAAACCATACTTCCTATAAAAATCACAACAGAAAATACTTAGTATGTTAGAGAAACTACAAAAGCAGAAAGTCCATACACTCCATGTTCCCTATTCTTTTCTCTCCAGTGATGCAATATCGAGTTTTAAAATTCCATTCATCCAATTCATTATAAATACCCATTTCCTTCTTCTGGAAGATTCTGGCAAAGTTTCTCCTCCCCGCCCCCCCCTTTTTTTTAAATAATTGGTATTTATAGTACCAAAAAAACCCCAACACTCAAAAGAAGTCAGATAGAACCACATCTTTGTCCTGGCTGCACAAAACTGCTGGAGTTTGTTAAGCTTTTCTATAAATTGTTCATTTTCAGGGAAGCCATAATTAACAAGGGATGCATGACTAAAACATACTCCAAACATTTTCAAACAAACACCTAAAAGCACAACAAATTTCAGGGGAAAAAAAAAAAGACAAACAGGCATACAACTAAAGAAATCTAGTTATTACTTTCCAAAGAATTACTCATTTGGCACAGACTATCACATTTTCAGTACTGTGAAGATTTAATACTTTATTTCTTGGTTCTAAAACTCTATTAAGAACAAACAAATCCAATGCAGCTGATTTAGGCTGATCTCCAATATAGATGAGAGTTCCCACGAAGGAAACCCAGATCTGGTTACCTTAAGAGTACATTTGGGTTTGTCTTAAAAAGGTGTCAAACCCATCCAGTACCAAAGGACCAGTTCTTTATCAGGGATGTGAAATGGGGTGATCCTAGACTTACAGTGTTGTGCCAGTAAAGCTCTACAGCACTAACAGTTTGTACACAATTTTTTGTATTTAAAGCAAAAAGTTAAATAGGGCACCCTACCCCTTTCATGAAACAAGATTGCTATTTCAACAAACAATTACGATAATTACATGGATTTATGTACAATTAGGATCGAGTTAATGTTATGCAACCGTGTCAGAACTTTACTACCATTCAGAAGAAAAAAAAAAGAATAAATTTATCTGAACAATACGAGACAGTAACTGATGATTTTCTTGTTCAGTGGTGGCACTTCTACTCCATACCAACAGTAGAAATCCAGAATATCTATCTTATTTTCTGTTAATAAATAATTCTTCATTCACCGTGACATCACTAGGCAAACTCAGTTAAAAGCGTTCCAACAAACGTGACCAATATTTTCCCAGCTTGTACCACAGGACTTCCAGCTTAAACTCCAACCTGTATATTTGCTCATGTGCGCACACAAAGCAGCATCATCTATGTAAAATTCACTCACTCTCCTCTAGGGTACAAAAGCACCAACTTTCAGTGTGCACAGAGTACGAGCAGAACAAAATACAGCATGAAAAAGTATTACAAATACATCTACCTGGGATTTTATGATTACTGCTACTGCAGCCAGTGTATGCTAGTATACCTTGGACTTTCTAAAAATAAAATAGGGCATATACACATATTAAACTACAATATTCATCACCAAGACTTTGGGCATGAGATTTCACAATTAAATAAAAAGTAGTCATTATCTGAATATGTAGCTGAATACAAGAAAGATGAAAGCATCATATTGGAAATAGAAATTCTGAAGGAGTGATAGACATCTTCAGTGTTATCTAGCTTTGTAAAAGTTTTTGATAGCTTTTAAGACAATGAAAAATACCATACTGTAAAATAAAAATATTTTAAGCATTAGTCAGCTCAAACACATGACTAACCATAACGCAAAAGAAAAACTCCTCTACAACTATGGTAGCATTTCCTGAAGTATTTTGACCTGCAGCCCGTTTTAGAAGTTCAGCTCCTTTAAGAGCCACTACACCACCCCCTAACACCCCAAGCTTGCTGAACTGCAGCTGCTCCAACCTGGGTCCCACAGAGCATACCAGAGCAGGAGTACACAAGCAGTGCCAGAGTCTGGCTGCCTGGACAAGTCTGGCATCTCTCAGCACCACACAAGCTTGGCAACATGTTACATACACCTCTTGTGCCTCCCCAGCGCATAGCTCCTAAAGGTAGGGGAGAGGGGGTGTGTGTCATTCTACTCTCCTCATTTCACCAATTTCTTTGGTGTAAGATTATCGAGGAAGTATCAACAAGTCCAAAAAGGGGTCTAAGCAAAGGGAGTGGTCTCCAAAGCATGGTCTCCTCTATGAAGGAGAGATGAAGAACAAGCTTCACCCCTAGAACTCTAGCTCGGTCAAGACAGCAGAAGTCCTGCCACAGTCCTCACAGGACACCAGAATGAAGAGCAAACCATGCAAACTAATTACTGCCAGACAATTACGCAACAACCACCAAACCCAAACATGGGTTCCATGATTTTCTGCTTATGATCCCACTGGTTGATGCAAGGCCCTCCAAGACCAAATTTCCACTGGGTTTCAAACTGACATACTGTACCTTACAGTTTTTGAGACACATAAATTTTGCATTGTTTAGTTACTTAGGTCACAGCTTTGAAATTATGTCCTAGGAAGACTGAAAATGAAAAAAAGGAGGACCCTCCATATCAAGCAGCCAACTGGTACATCAGTTCAAGTTTGTGCTAAAGCATCACCACTGTAATTCAGCTCTGGTACAGTCTCACTATTGACATACTACAGAAGATAAGCATGATTCTCCAAGGTAAAAGTAAGTAAACACAGAGCATGTTTGTGAAGCTATTTGGATGGATGCAAACAGTAATGCTTTTTGATGAAAAGTCTTCAACAGCTACATAGTGTGAATATCCTTTTCAAGCCACTGGATTACAAAAAAAGAAAAGAAAAAAAAAAAAGTCCAAACCTCTGCTTTACTGACTAGAAGTTTCTCTTAAAACACACATACCTCTGTTCTAAGGAAATGCAAGTTGCTTCAGAAGAAGCAGGTCACCCCTCTTACCTAAGACAGTGAAGTGATGGTCCAGAGGGAAGCCACCCATTCAGTTCCACTCAGCTGAACAACTGCAGCTTCTTCTAATTCTTCACCACCCTGTAAAACATGGGTAAAGAACCATGCAGGATGGTAATGGAAAGAGTATCGGTGAAGATTGACTTCCCGCCCCCCTTCCTCCATCCAACAGTTTGCATAATACAGGGAAGCAGGCTCAACCTATTAAAAGTAAGAAGTAGTTAATGCTTCCTTTAAGAGACTCATTCATAAGAGTATTTGTGAGACAGAACACTATGGTAATATTTAATTTATAATGTAATTTTGCAAATGGTAAGTTATTTTGTCATCAGTAAGTTCTGTCGCTCCTAGCCACAAGAAGGCGGAACTATTCAAAACCAGCAATTTAAAGTGCTATTTGTTCCCATGTTACATTGTCAAGCACGAATCCTAGATCTCAGCATTATTCGATTTTATCTTTTTTTATATTTCTCCTATGAGTTTATTTTCCTGAAGAAATGTCTCACCAGCTGGTATAGCTACTCAAGCATTGCTTCATTACAAAATATTACCTTTACACTGTATTTGCTGACTTTCTGCTAACTAACCAGATACATTACATGCATAACTATTCATATAAACTAGGTTTTTTCCAAACTTTCATTCATTGGCACTACAGCCTTACAAGGCTGCCAGGTACTGCCTGTAAACACAGGAAATTAATGCAGTAAATGTTAAGGTCAAAATATTTAAGGTGACAAAAATCACTTAAAACACACAATTTGCTCATTGCTGTTGTCTCTGGGAACCAACTATTCAGCAAAGCTTGCAACACTCTCCGGGGGGGGGGGGGGGGGGGG